TGCATAGTGGTAACCAGAGCACTGGCATATTAGCGGCTTAGACTCGCTTTCCCATTTTTAAATTAAATCTTTAAATGGCGAACCGTTTTAATCTAGCTAAAATCTCGAGTATCCGATGCCATCGAGATTTGATAATGGTCTTGTGGTTTTGTTAATAAATGTCTAATTAATAGTTTATATAACATTTCTTGATTTTCTTTTTGAACACTTTGGTCAGATAATCCACAAATTTATTGCTTTCACCAAGAGAGTTGAGGAAATCGGCATGAATTTTGTTTTCTTTATCAACTAATTTCTCTATATCTGTTTTCTTATTTTCTAATTTAGCTTGTACTTCCATTATCTACAAATCATAAACATTGATAACAAGGGTTGCTATGTCAACAATCAATTTAAAATTTCATTATTAGTAGATTCCCGTTTTAAATCATTCATTTAATCTTCGTAAATACTAACTACGGCTTTATGAATTCTTTGTGAGGGATAATTTTGAAGGTTTATTAAGGTTTAATGTCATATGTACTTTTAATACTAATGTATAAAGGTAATCAGTACCCTTTCTCTATTGTAAATTGTATGCGTAAGGGTGAGTTTTGCCCAAACTACAAAGTTTCTGACTACTTTTCATTCATGCTCTAAACTACCAAGGGATATATTACTGGCACTATTCACTAATTCATCATAAATATTGGATCCAAGAAAAATACAATTTGATATTATCACTCGACTGATGTGAAAATAAAACCAGATTTGTTTTATAAAAAGAAATCTACCTTTGTCTGCATGTCTAATTTTTCTTGTTGTTTATTGGATACTTTGTCAGCTAAAATTTATTCTCGTTTCTCATATTCTTTCTGAAAATAGATAGAATAATAATCAAATAAAATGGGGTTCAACGTCCTACTGTTCTGCTCCGAGAAGACGGGCATAGGGCATACAGTGGGCTGCGAGGGAAATTTTGCCTAGGCAGCGGCACTATGACCTACCCATATATCGAATTCTACCTGCCAAGGGATCTTTTACGTGCACGCCAATGTGTACAAAGGACTTCGTTTTTTCGTCCCATCTAAATGACAACACAGATGTCCTTGTCAGGTCCTCCGTCCTGCACCACTGACAAGGGGAAACCACGAAAAATCCTGATGAACTTTCTCGGCCAATGCATGGATCGAACACGCGACCTCCGAGCTAGCGGGCCAGTGTCTTACACACTTAGCCACCTTGGTTCCTGCATAATAAACAAACTGGTATCATAAGACTAAGAATACATGATAGATATTCATATTAAGCATTCTATTATTAAACATTGTATTATATTCAGTTATGTATATTTTGTATTGGGTAAGTTTTATATATTTAATAAATCATTTTTATAGTTGGTACAATGTTTATAGATAAAATGTTGACATCAAATATCTAACAATATAGAAGCTTATTGTTAAACAAAAATACAAAATGTATCAGTTATTTGCATCTATAAATTACAAATAACTCTTGAAGGATTACTGAAACATGAACATTTTATTTCTGGGTGAGATGTGTCAACTAGTTTAGTTATCAATATGTGTGTGATTACTAACCCAGGAACCACTTCAGTGAGATACAGCAGAGATCAATTATTGGAGTTCAGAGACCAAAACACTTTGGATTCAAATTAACAGTTTTTAGAATCAATCCCAAAAACTGTTGTGAGTCACAAACCATTAAGAAGGAAATCTGATCAATAATAATAGTACGAGAGAGAGAGAGAGAGAGAGAGAGAGAGGGAGGGGTTTAACATCCACTCAACACAAACTAGGTCATTTCGGGACTAACATGATTCAACTTTATTTCAATAATTCGCTTGCGCGCAGGGATCTTTACCAGTGGAGAAAACCCACGATGTTGTACAGGCGACCAAACTCCTTGTCACGTAAAACCGGAGAATCGAAACCACGCCAGTTGACTCAATGACAGACCTTATGATACAGCGCGCACACGTTAACCTCCCAATAATATATGGAATGCTCGGTCGATGAACGGAAAGATAGGAGCACTAACGGCCTCCATGATAACGAACTGAGAAGAACGAAACCCTTGTTTATGCGGACTTATCTTCCTCGATCTGGGTACACCGCCCTACATGTTCCGCGCTATAAGCAGATAGGTGGCGGCATTGTCATCCTGGTCAGAACTAATCTGAAGTTTAAAAGGAATACTGGAATTCAAATCGTTTGACATAATGGATGTAAATATTTACGTTGATAGCACCATGATACACGCTGTAACTATTTATATACCCCCATACTCTAAACAACATAAAGTGAAAGTACAAATTTCTTATTGGAATTTGGTACACTATTAGAAAGTATCATTCTTTCTCCTGGTTATCTAATGATCGTTGGTGATTTCAATATACACGTGGATCACCCATCTACGGTGGCTGATTTGGGACAAAAATATAATAATAGCTCGAAATACGATCGCGCCACTTGCGCCAGGGTAAATTAGGCAGTGATCAGTTCCTACATATGAAATAAATAAACTTGAATCAGACCTGGGCTTCTAGATACCAGGAATGTCAGTCTCTCCTAGCAAAAGTCTGTAACCTCGATATATACAATTATTGATTCGTATAATAACATGCGATATACTCCCCACTTGGAAGGGGGTAAATATTAACGGGAAATATTTTTTTGCATGTCCCAAAGGTCACATCTATTGTACGAAAAATGCCGTCGAAATCATGTGAATTAGATCCTAAGCCTATTGAATTGGTAAAGAACTGTATTGATGAATTGGCACCTGAATTATTACGAATATTTAATACATCGTTTGAATCTGGGATTTTCTCCGCCAACGGTAAAGCTGCCGTTGTCCGCCTCCCTCATTAAAAAAACTTGGACTAGATCCTAACACGCTGTACAATTATCGACCAGTTTCCAATTGCTGTTTCCTAGACAAGTTCCGCGAAAAGTGTTTTTTTTTAGCAAGGATTGGGCAACAGCCATGACCTATATTAAACTCCTCTCCCTGTCAGATATAGATACATGTATTTACATTGGAGAAATAAATAATCAATGATTACGGTGAGTGTGTTATTGTTGTCTCTGGCATGGATCTACATTTGAGAAATACACAAACAATGTACAAGGTGTTCGCATATTGCGTCAAACTTGTCAACAATTTTTATAAATAATTTGTACATTTATACATAGCTATAGAAATGGAATGAAATGAGGTTTAACGTCCTAGCGTGTCCACAACCTTGGTGTTACATACTTTTACTTGTAGCGATGATATATTTAAACGATTTTTATAATCCGATAAAAAGTGTGACCTCTAGAGGACAACAAGCTAAAATCGCGATTTTGTCGTACAATCAGGGGCCATAATTCAGGAATTCTGAATATGTACAGAATATACAACTGGTGGTGGTTTTTTCTTTGATGTGTTATATCATATATCAACCTGTTATGACGTCATCATAGGTCGATACACTCGGTTCATATCATTAACCGCTGATGACGTTGATGATAGAAATAGTACAAAGATCAGAGAAATATTTTTTTTATTCTTAATTTGATGGTACAGTTTGTAGCATTCTGCACCGGAATAGACGGCGTAGTTATCGGCATATTTAGATGGGTTATTCATGTCTAAGTTATCTTTCAGAAGGTTCTTTTCGTCCACATTTCTATTATTTCTCCGCATACTCCAAGACTTGAAAGTATTTATAGCCCACGAGTTCCTTTGTAAATTTTGAGTACAGTCCACTTTTCGTAGACCGTGAAATCCTTCTCTGAACAAAACTTTCACTGTTCACTGTCAGAATTATCGGAAAAGATTGTCTTTTGATCCAAATTTTTGTCCAGCCTTTGACAAGCAACTAGTAGATCCTCGTCGTAATTTACATTCACATATATTCCACCGTCGAGATGTTGGCTAAAAAGAATTGATTTTTCGTCTAATAACGCATTACTATCCATTGTGATTTTGCCTTCAATTCAATTAAACCTAATGGCGACAGTATAAACAATGCATTAACGTGATAAGTTCGATAATTAAGTTATTTGGTGGAAACTATCGAGCAATTATCCAGATGTGACGTCATCCTTTGATGTTGGCGTACCATTATTTCCAATAATACACGGGCAACTTCCCAATCGTACATTATCTATACTAGATGAAATATTAGACTCGCTTGACGTATCTCATTGAAAAGCACGTGCGGGACAATGTGTGTATTTTAAGTTGTTTTATGGTCTCGAGCTAAAGACATTGCGTAATATATTACCATTAAACTATACATACAAAAGATATTATTATTATTATTTTTCTGAACACGAACCACTACCTTCTCTCGGAAGGAACAGTACTACCATCTCCATATTTCAGTACGTGATCCTAGTTATTTCACATCTCTACATATGGTGGGTATTGTACACCACGCGGAATACTTACATTTTAAAAACTATACCCCTACATTTTAAGGTGATCGGATATAGGGTCAAACTTGTCAACAATTTTTATTAAACATGCATTATGCAAGAGTCTGTTCTTAGGCCTGAAATATGGACCGGATCATAGAAATTAAACAAGGTTTACTTAAGTGTTGTGAACGTACAGTTATGGAGGCTGATACCGTCCGAAACATTTGTATTGCGAGCGCTTCGGGTAATACGTCAGAAAAACTGATAACGATTTACCACGATTTAGACAAAAATTATGAATGGGATCATGATGTAGAAATTAAACAAGGTTTAGCCAAGTGTTTTGAACGTACAGTTATGGAGGCTGCTATCCGTCTGTTACAATTGGAGAGCGTGCGTCACAAAAACTGATAAAGATTTACAAACTATTTAGGGGGTTGCCACCTAATCGAATCAACATCGGACAAGGGGTGGATGATGAGTTGATAAACATGCCTACACAATCCTAATTAAGTGCCTTGCAAATTCCTGATAGGGTGACTACTTTATACACCCAAACTACCATGAATGTCTTCAATATAATTTCAGGTTTAGGTTCCTTTAATGTGGCACTTAATAAACCAACATGGCAAAGTTCAACGCTTGGCGATTCATCTAATGCTGTGGATGGTAATACTAATCAAGATTGGTATGGTGGAAGTTGTACGATCACTAATAACAAGAAAGCAAGAGAATGGTTGTGTGTTGATCTAAAACAGAGTTTTGATATCAGTAGTATGAAGATATTTAACGTATTAAACAGTTGGGGTACGTAAGATTATAACTAAATGGGACCGCCACATTCAATAGAGCATAGTAACGACTTCTCAGTTTACCTTTTGAAACTTAGTGCCTGAAAGCAGAATGATATCTGATGATTAAATATTAGAACAATAGTTTACAATATATCCAGTTCAATCAACACAATTTTTACGCTGTTGTTTTTAGATGTGGAAATAGATGTAACTGATTGATTAAGAAACAAAGCATTTGTTTCATAAAACATGATATTAAGTTTGTTAAGTTATTGCTCCTGCAATGACGGTCCTTTGTAAGTGTTGTAAGATCCATAGTCTTAAATTCCCACCCAATTTATTGGTTAAAATATGCCGAATAAGATTTGTGGATGTTTCAATTACTTTAAAAGTGTTGATATTATTATTAATAGAGTGGGTTAAACAAATAGTAAATGTGGCAAGGATATAATTTCTGATTATTTTCAGCATTATCACATTATTGTTACATACATTTCATATTGTTTTTAAATTGTTGAAAAATGTGATACAAGCCCCACTGAGTGAGTTACATACAATTCATATTGTTTCCAGGTACTAACTACATCAAAGGATTTGAAGTTAGATTGAGTTCAACTGGTAACTGTGATGAAGGAGGTTTTATTTCAGCTACAGCATGTTATAAAGATCATACATCAACAGGACAATCTATTTATATCATAGACAGATGTAATCAACCATCTGTACCATCATTATCGGCTAGATTTGTTTTTGTTTCAATAAAACGTCAATATTTATACATATGTGAACTACAAATATTCACAGGTAAGTATATTACTGATTCAACAGTTTGCCAGTTTTGGAATAGGATAAGATAAGCAACAATTAGCAATCTTATTTCCGAGTAAGGGAATCTACTATATAGACACAACGGCACGAAAGTATTAGATATTCTACAAAACGTATTAGCCCTGGCTTTACCGAATAAATGAGAACTTATATTCTAGAAAAGGTAGGCAGCATTCGTCGCGTCACCATTTGATCAATATTAGGAGCCATGAATATGACAAATAGTAGATGATTAATATTTGGAGGATTAAAACGCTCTAAGGTGATGGGTTTCGCAGGAAGGTTCGTAGCAACAACAGGTCTAAACAGCATAAAGCCCCATCAAACTGTTTCGATTTTTGTGTCCGAATAACACCGATTACACTTACAAAATCAGACTTATTGGCTTTACGACATTTTGTATACACGATTTTCAAAAGCCTTCCTCGTCGACTTCTCCTGTGACAATACAAGACTACATTACGCCCGTGGGAACAACTAATTACGACTGTTCAAGCTGAATTCCACGAGCAAAAACCTAGCATAACGTAATGACGTCATATCATAGCAGTCGTGCTCACAAATACCTAGAACCAAAGCCGTATGTATATAAATAATGTTGCGACAACTGTGAAGCCAGAAATTTCCTATGACGTCATGAAAATATGACGTCAGGTGTGCAAAGACGCCATCTTGGGTCCCAAGTATTTGTACCTACTCACTATCTATTTTATGGTCTAGCATACTGTTGTGTCGAAGATGGCTGCCCCATACATTTTTTAAACGAAGAGTATAGCTGAACAAACTATTATTATTATTATGCAACAAAAAAGCGAACATGATTGTTATAATATAGTCTAATTCATAAGAAAATGAAATGAAAGATACACCAGATAAAAGCGCTATTAAATATCTTTAACTTGCATACGCTTTTAAAAATCAGATTTTTTGTCCAGACGGGTAAAGTGAAAAATGAAAATTTAAATAGTAATTTGGGAGATAAAACCTTTTTGCCTTCTAGACTTCAGAGACTAGAAAGAAATTTAGTTTAACGTCCACTCGACACAAACTAGGTAATTTCGGGACTAACATGGTTCAGTTTTATTTCAATAATTCACTTGATTGATGAGAGCAAACTGGGGGGCTCGGAGAAAACCCAAGAGGTTGGACAGGCGACCCTACTCCTTGTCTCGTACAAGCGGGGAATCGAAACCGCGCCACCTGACTCCATGACATGTCATAGGTCTAATAAACGTATTAATGGCCGGTAATTTAAATTGTAGGCCCTGTTTTTTTTAGTAGTAGTTGCGCTTCGATGTAAACCAAATTATTCCTTGCATTCTTTATCGCATGCTATCTAGTATTTTCGTAATTTTAGAATTACATGTAGATGTGATTTTTAAAGGATTAAATTTTAAATAGTAAGCTTTACTGTCTGTAGTTGCACATGTTCTTTTTACATTCTATAGTTTTTGTAAAAACAAATAAAATCTACAAACACAATAATAGGCCTTCAGTCTACCGAATAAAATAAATTTAGATTCATATGTTATCATTAAAAGCAATTGAAAAAGAATCATGTGCGAGGGAACTAACTATATTTTCTGAAGAATCTGTTGTATTCTGGCAAAAGGATAATGGACAAGCTTAATTTTTTCTATGATTGTTTATCGAAAAATGTTATTCTATCTATGTAGGCCTACAATTACTTGTGGTAAACAAAGTGTTAAGTTTATGGTATCTGAAATATACCTTTCCAATTTTTTTAAAAATATTATTTTGCTCAATTTTCAGTTGCAATAAGCTTTTAATAAAACAGTAAGCCTAATACTGTTATGCTATTAAAAATCACATTTCCCCTTTTACTGGTAGGCCTTAATCCGACCAATAAAATACATGTATTTACTGAAGCACTATCACTAATTTTAAACCATTCAGTAATTCAAAATAATTTTAATTTACTCGGTGATTATCTAGTAATAGTATGCTGTATGGTTAACTTCAGTTTGTATGGCAGATAATTCCATAATAGTACACAGCATAAATTAAATTTTCTTTTTCAAAATAATCAGTTGACAAAAAAATCGCAAAAATAAAAGTAACTCTGAACACAGATCAGACCTAATGAGATAGATATTTAGAGCAAACTTCATATTTATAATAATTTAATATATTCTTGTGCAGTAGTGTAAAATTGACAATTTCATAGTATTAGGTGGCCTATAAAGGCCGTCAAAACAATACATGACACCCAGAGCAATATGCAAAATATTCATTCTCAAGTTGTTTTGGGTTTATACTTGTTTGTAAAAAGAGAAACCAATCAACTCAAAAAATGTTTATTAAAAAATGTTATAGGCCTATTTAAAATAGAATTTCAATATCTTTAATTATTTTACTTTTTAAAAATGAAAGCCTACGCCCTACATTAATTAATAGAACAAAAATCATAAAAGCACACGGCGAGTCAACGTTGGATCCAAAGGTATTTTATCTTGGAAAACAACCAACGGCTCAAATCTGTTTATTGGAAAACATTATATGCCTATTTGAAATTCAATTTTAATATTCTTAAATTACTATTTTATATTTTAATGAAAGCTTACTTTATTAACATAACATATATACGAGAAGCACACAGTCAGAGGCGTAGCCGTGAAATACATGTTGGGGGGGGGGGCGCAACCCTAACCCCTAACCCTAACCCTAACCCATTTTTAAAACCCCTAAAAAATATAAACAAACACCATGTGGCCATGCTGTCTACCAAGACACCGCGTGCAAAGCATTATGGTTACGTTGTTGGCTGAGCGGGCGATAAATATTTGGTTTAGGCGATAATGTTTTTGGGTACCTACATGCGATTCACTCTGATAAGTGGCAGAAAAAAATTAACAAAATATTACTGACACTGACAGGCTAACTAGACACAATTTTATGGAACACAGTTACGTTTCACTTCACACATGTTTCCAGGATGAAATGAAATGAAATGGGGTTTAACGTCCTACTGTTCTGCTCCTAACCTGGGCTAATGAAGACGGGCATACGCCATACAGTGTGTGCTATGAGGGAAATTTTGCCCGGACAGCGGCACTACGGCCTACTCTTATATCGAATTCCAACTGCCAAGGGATCTTTTACGTGCACACCAATGTGTACACGGGACCTCGATTTTTCGTCCCATCCGAACGACTAGACAGCTTTCCTTGTCAGCCCTTCCGTCCTGCATCACTGACAAGGGAGAACCACGCCGGAAAATCTGGATGAACTTTCTCGGCCAATGCAGGGATCGAACACCCGACCTACATTTCAAATCTAGGAATGGAAACAACAGGTATTTGGTGGAATAGTTTCAAATTTAATAAAGCCTCGTAAAAATCGACAATAATTTACGGCCTTGAATAAACCAATTCGTAAACCGTCACAAATGCCGTCTCTCGTCTCAGTCTCACTTCATTAATTCCGGGCCGTACCACGCTTTATGCATGTTTTAGAAATATGAATCATGTTTTATAAATTCCCGAAACACACACACAACTAACATATGATGATTGTATGTGATAATTCTCAGTAGTTTTGTTACCGAAAATACTATAAAACTACGAAATTAAAGAGATTTAGTTCATCGATATAGATATCGTAACGTCGTTGAGCGAACTGTCAGTGTGTGTTTATTACAGACAATTCACAAGATGCATTGCGCGTCGCTGTGTTTCTATGAGCGGTAATGCGAGTCGCCACTCTATGTATTTTTACTCTGTGACGACGTAATGACGTGTTATCATAGCAGTCGGATAGGGCCGATAAGTAAATCCCGCAAAATTGCGAGATTTCACGAGAAATTGGACTTCCGGTGACATGTGTGAATATCACGCAATTTTGTTAGCCTGATAATGTTGAAAATGAAAGCAAGCGAGTGAATTGGGTTAAATATTTATTCATTTGTGCCTTACTCCAAACAATGTTGTGATCTTCGCTCACCAGTTACTATTTATATGAAAAACAATGCCATAAATTATGCAAGAGGGAGAGTTGTGGAGATTTATTAGCTGTAAAAATGACCGAGCGGAATCTCTCACCCGTATTCCAGCACCCGGATTCGAGATCTAGTTAGCAGAAATAATTCTTAGCGTACTCCAGCACGCCGATTCGAGATCAAGTTGGCAGACATATATTCTCTAACCGTATTCCAGCACCATGATTCGAGATCAAGTTAGCAGACATATTCTCACCGTATTCCAGCACACGGATTCAAGATCAAATTAGCAGACATATTCTTTCACCGTATTCCAGCACCCTCATTCGAGATCAAGTAAGCCCACGTATTCCTAGCGCCAAGAAAAACCTAGATATAATTATCACGAAACTAATTGTTACCTTTATATTAGAAAATAAAATTTTAAAACATATTAATGCAAAGTATTATGTAATAGATCCCCCGATCCCCCCCCCACACCCCTAAATGTACTATTACCGTAAACATACTAAAATATCGCACAATAGGCTAACTGAGCATGCAAAAAGTACCCCAACCAGCTTTGGTGGGAAAATGTTTTTTGTTTTACGGAATCAAGAGATGAATAAACTACTGGAATCCAAAATTTCAGAAGGCTCCTATGTTGGTGTTTCGAGATATATTACCGTAAACATATTAAACATATGGGGGAATCGGGATGGGGTAGGCTGACTGCATGCGCACACAACAACTTCTAAACTAGCATTGGTGGCTTCAATATCTTTATTTCACCAACTGGACAGGTACATAATGCATGTACAAGCCAAATTTCATTAACTTTCTATGTAGGCGTATCGAGTTATACCACCGCAAAGTTCCTAGCACCCGGATTCGAGGCGGAGTTTGTGGGTTCAATAAACAACGGGCACGCCCACGCTGCGTCAAAAAACGACCCAAACCATCTTTGGTGGGTAAATGGTTTTTATTTCACCAAATCAAGGGATGAATAAACTACTAGAATACAAAATCTCAGAAGGTT